TCTATTTTTATATCCATCCTCACATTGGTTAATTATGTAATATTACAGTTGTTTAATATAAATTCAACATTTTAATATAAATCAATTAGTTATATAACTACCTTTTTTGTATATTAAGCAATATGAACATGAATATTCCAATTATTTCCAAGCAATCCAATTTCTTACAAATCAATTAATTATATTTACCAATAATAATAAACCAAATAATTTCCCCATATATTCCTCCAAACCACAACTTAACCATTTCTGCTTTCAACACAATATACAATTAATAGTTTCTCAATTATTATAATTCCCTAGTTAAATAGAGCTTTTTTTCTTTTGTGTTTTAAAATCTTGAACTCTCCTCTTTTGCCCTAAATTTCCCATTGTTTGCACCTACCTTTTTTGGTGAGGAAAAAGAAAAGAAATCTACCTGCCTAATTTTCCAACTTGCAGCAACAGCAAAGCCAACAGCCTCTTTACTTTCAGTTTTGTTTTTCAGCATAGCTAGGGGAAAAAAAATCTGCTCCAGCAAGCAGCAGAGCCTGAGCAAAACAGCTGAGAGCAACTCAGCTGAGAGTTGGGAGCCGATCTAATCAAGGGCTAATTAGCCTATGCTGAAGCTCCACGGGCCAATAAAATTACAAAAAAACACCGAACCATTTGTTAAATTGCTGGCTCCCCCACCCCTTGCCCACCACTATTTATTGGCAATAAATAGTGGTGCGGAGGGGCGGGGCAAGCCAGCAATTTAACAAACGGTTCGGCTGCACCACTGGCTATAGGGCGGCCCTTTGAAGCCCCGTGGCAAGAATTTAAACAGTTTTTTTTCCCTCTAGCCATCAGCTGGGACTCAGGAAACAGCAATAGATTGGGGGTGGGTGGGGTAAGCGAACGGCCGGCGATCCCACAGAGCAGAGAGGGAGGGTGAGTGAAGGCATGGGGGGGCGAGAGAGGGCTTTGGCGACCCCTGTGAAATGGCCGTTCGACCCCCAAAGGGGTTGCGACCCCCAGGTTGAGAACCGCTGGGCTATTGGATTATGGATCTGAAAGTTTGGAGGAATCTAGTGGATTAATTTGGATTTGGATTATTAATGTTATTTGACAGAACATTCTACGAGACAAAAGAAGAAAGGTGACAGAAGAAAAGAGAAAAGAAGGAAAGTTAAATAAGACTTTAAAATTTGGACAATTGGGAAGATACATAATTGGAAAACTATAAGGCTATAAAGATTTTTAAAGATCATAACTTTAGAGGTTTTGGAGGTATAATTATGGGATTGATGAAATCTTATTAAGCAGGAGTTTTTAAATATTGAGACATTGGAACTATAGAAATATACTGAGTAATTTTATTAAATTGTTATAAAATGGATTTACAGGGGATAATAGAGGCATATGAAAAAATATTCTTGATGTTAAAAAGTGTGCTTGAAACTATAAAGAACAATAAGGAGACAAGGGGATTGTTTAAAGACACAGAAATGAATGTAGAAGTCACTCAACAATGTGGGGGGGGGGAGAGCAACACGATATTCAGGAAATAGATGAGAAATTAGAAGGAGATGCAAGAAGCTAAAAATAAAAAAGAGAAAGGATTAATAAGTAGGAATCAATTAGATAACTCCTTAAAAGTTCATAATAGAACAGAGAGGGGGAAAAAAGAAAAATCTCTTTTTTAAAAAAAGAAATCGTATGGATGGGTGTTCAAATAATACAGCAGAAAGAGACAAAGGGCACCCAGAAGGGAATGTTCAGTAGGCACAAATATATCAAAAAGAGCTACAAGATTCCAAGAGAGAGAGAGAAAAGGCTGACTAAAAAGTCAATAAATGATGGAATTTCAAAAAGATTAAGAGATCATGGATAATGAGAAAATATATTAATAAAATGGAAAATATAAATAGGGAAAATAGTAGTATATATATTAACAGATAATACAACAGATAATACATTTTTAGTTTATTATAACTAAAAATAAGTTAAGCTTATAAAATGGAAATTTAGGATTAGGTAATCTAATTGTATTATCAACATTAATAGTGTGTTAAAGTATATTATGAATTTAAAATATTAAGAATTAGAAATTGTGGGGATTTTGATATATTCTCCTGGGATTGATTAAATATTGTTAATATTTCGCTTTATTAGTAATCCTACACATTTGGAATATTTCAGTTATGGTGGAATAATGAATAATTTTTAAATATGAAATATTAGTAATTTAATAGGAGATAACAATACATAGAGGGACACAGTGGCTCTGAGCCTGTCGATGGAAAGGTCGGCAGTTCAGTGGTTCAAATCCCTAGTGCTGCGTAACGGAGTGAGCCCCCATTACTTGTCCCAGCTTCTGCCAACCTAGCAGTTCGAAAGCACATTAAAAATGCAAGTAGAAAAATAGGGACCACCTTTGGTGGGAAGGTAACAGCGTTCCGTATACCTTTGCTGTTTAGTCATGCCAGCCACATGACGGAGACGTTTTCGAACAGCACTGGCTCTTCGGCTTTGAAACAGAGATGAGCACTTTATTGAAAAGCATGGGCCAAATAAGGGACAAATACTGTATGTTCTTATATTTCAAAAAATGACAAGTCAGAGCAATGTATTCTATGTAGTCTAGATGTAATTATGTTTAAGGATTGAATCAATCCCATATTTATACTAGAATTATGATATATGATTTTTATATACCGTATTTGGTTATATATAATCAACATTTATATTTGCTGATAAAGAAATAAAGGGAGACTAGTATAGATCTATTTCAAGCTATTTAGCTCTCATCAGCTAGCCATACCCTTACTCGGATTCGAACTTGGGCTGACTGCATATTAGGCAGTTGTATTAACCTCTGAGCCTATACTAGTCTCCCTTTATTTTTTTATCAGGAAATATAAATTTGGTATAAAATGGTTTGTTGTGAATGCGACTGCTTGAGGGCTCCTGGATTGGAGCTGAAAGGAGAAAGGGAAGCAGTATGCTCCCTCCCATATTGGGGTAGACCAGGTGCTTCAATGGAAAACACTGTATGTATGTTCTAAACAGAACACACCCCCATCCAATCAGAGCACAGCCAAACCCCCAACCAATCAGAACACACCTCCACCCAATCAGTTCACACCCCCACTGGCAGTTAAAAGGAAGAAACAGTTGCGATCACACATTGCTCCTAGAAGCACGAAGCCAAAAACACCAGCCTGAAGATGACGAACGAGACTTCGTCGAAACGTCGCCAAGACACTTCCAATTTTACGTGGGAGAAAACCCGAGTAACCAAAGACCTACATACAAACACCCGCGAAAACCTCAGAAAACAAATATATATATATATTTATATATATATATATATATATGTGTGTGTGTGTGTGTCTTCTTAAGTTTTTGCGGGTGTGCATATGCAAAAAATTAAAATCTCGGGTGTTTTCCCGCGTCATTGTAAATAAGTTGGTTAAAATATTTAAAATTCTGGTCAAAATCCCAGCTTAAAATCTTCTAAAAATCCTTACAGAGCACTCTGCAAGGTCTTTAAAACCTCAGCTAAAATCCTACCAGTGACTTTAAAAGTTTTTCTTATAGCAACGTTTCGACAGACTCACAACCCTGTCATCTTCAGGCTCTTGTTTTATTTAGAAGCGAAGGGATCTCTGTTGCGAGGTCGGAGCTGTCGCTTATCTATATTTGCTGCTGCTGACATATGCTGGTTAGCCTGTAACTCTGTGTTGTGATTGGAGGACAGCAGTTTTTCTTCCTGCTTCCTCATCCTGGCTGTTTGGCTGCGTGTTACCAGCCCAGCTTTCTCAGATTCTCTATTATTATCTGTCTGCTGTAGAGGGGAAAGGATTCTGGTAGGCATCACAGCACCTTTGATTGTTAATTGAGATCTCAGCCTGTCTTCTGGCTCGATCCTCTCTCTCTCTCCTTATTGCTAGCCACCTCTGCAGAGCGGGAAGAATTCTGGCAGGCCTTGCAACACCACTGGTTGCTTGTTGGAATCTCTGCCTCTCTTCTGATGTTAACACTCGAGTTTCTCTCAGTGCAGGTCCCCAAATACTTGATAACCTAGAGGCGTCGTCCCGTCTGTTCATATTCTGTGGCCTCTTTTCAATTTCGATGGCCTCCCTGATTATTCTTTTGTTGAGATGTTCCTCTTTCGCCACTGTTCTGATTTTATTAAAATCAATATTGTGTCCTGTGGCCTTCATGTGTTGTATGAAAGAAGAAGTTTGCTCTTCCCGCTCTGCAGAGGGTGGCTAGCAATAAGGAGAGAGAGAGGATCAAACCAGAAGACAGGCTGAGATCTCAACTAACAATCAAGGGTGCTGTGATGCCTACCAGAATCCTTTCCCCTCTACAGCAGACAGATAATAATAGAGAATCTGAGAAAGCTGGGCCGGTAACACGCAGCCAAACAGCCAGGATGAGGAAGCAGGAAGAAAAACTGCTGTCCTCCAATCACAACCCAGAGTTACAGGCTAACCAGCATACGTCAGCAGCAGCAAATATAGATAAGCGACAGCTCCGACCTCGCAACAGAGATCCCTTCGCTTCTAAATGAAACAAGAGCCTGAAGATGACAGGGTTGTGAGCCTGTCGAAACGTTGCTATAAGAAAAACTTTTAAAGTCACTGGTAGGATTTTAGCTGAGGTTTTAAAGACCTTGCAGAGTGCTCTGTAAGGATTTTTAGAAGATTTTAAGCTGGGATTTTAAGCAGAATTTTAAATATTTTAACCAACTTATTTACAATGATGCGGGAAAACACCCGAGATTTTAATTTTTTGCATACACACACACACACACACACACACATATCTGTCTTCTTAAGTTTTCGCGGGTGTGTATATGCAAAAAATTAAAATCTCGAGTGTTTTCCCATGTCATGTTAACATGACGCGGGAAAACACCCGAGATTTTAAATTTTTGCGCATATATATATATATATATATATATATATATATATATTCCTTTATGTTTATTTTATTTTAAATCACTATAAAAGAGGCATTGGACTTACCGTGAACGCCGTTTCTCCAGGGGCTGTGGAGTGGGTCAGGAGTGGGTCAGGAGTGGGATGATCCAGTTGGTCTGGCCAGTCATTGAGTCGAATTGTTGTGGCCACACCTCCTCGTGCCTCCGTCGCCTCCAGTTTTGTTCGACAAATCCAGATCTAAAAGACAACATCTGCCAACAGTTAGCAAGAAGCCGTGGAAAAAATTGCAGGCAGGAGGGGCTGACCCACTCCGCAGCCCCCGGAGAAACGGCGTTCACGGTAAGTCCAACGCCTCTTCTCCCAGAAGGCTGCGGAGTGGGTCAGGAGTGGGACATACCCAAGCTCGTCAGCCCTATGGGTGGGAAGCCTGTGAACTAGGAGGCCTCGAGGCCAGGTGTACCTGTTGGAGGACTCTCCTGCCGAAAGAAGCCTCCGCAGAAGCGAAGACATCCAAATGAGTGTTTAATAAAGGGGACAGGAGTAGTCCAGGTAGCTGCCCGGCAAATTTCCTCGAGGGAGGCCTGCGTGGCCCAAGCAGCGGTGATAGCTGCACTGCGAGTTGAGTGAGCAATGACATGCCTCGGTGGAGGAATATGTGTTTCATACGCCCAGGCAATACAAGCCTGGATCCAGCGGCCAATGGTGGCCGAGGATACCTTAGATCCCAACGAGGTGGGTTGAAATGATACGAATACAGCCTCAGAACGCCTGGAAGGGGCAGTCCGCGAGATGTAGAACTTAATAGCTCTGCGGACATCCAGAGTGTGCCTTTGTGTTCCAGTGGATGAGCTGTTCTGGGACAGAAATTGGGAAGAATAACCTCCTGTTCCCGATGGAATCGGGAGTTAATTTTTGGAACAAAGGACGGCTCCAAGCGGAGGATAACTCTGTCTATGTGTATGACACATAGGTCAGGCCAGATGGAGAGGGCTGCCAGTTCCGAAATGTGGCGGGCCGAAGTAATGGCCACCAAGAAGGCAACCTTTAGAGAAAGGTACCTGAGGCTCGATGTACGTAAAGGCTCGAATGGTGGTTTGGTGAGGGCCTTTAGTACCCATGGCAAGTCCCAGGTGGGATACCGATGGACTACAGCGGGACAGAGATTTCGGACCCCACGTAAAAACCTGTGAATGGAAGGATGACGAGACAGCAGCACTCCATCCCTAGGTCACAATACTGTGGAGAGTGCAGCAACATGGCATTTGAGTGTGTTGAATGCCAGTCCTTTACGGAAACCATCGTGGAGGAACTCCAGGACCTGCGGGACAGAAGCTGAAAGGGAATTAATCTTGCGCGCAGAGTACCAAGAGATAAATACCTTCCAGGTGATGTTGTAGAGTCTGATGGTGGACTGCTTTTTGCCCGCCTGCATGATTCGGATGACGTCCTCGGAGTAGAGCGCCTCCCTCAGGAGGAGCCCCTCAAGAGCCAGGCAGTCAGGTTGAGCCACTGGGGCTCTGGGTGGTTGACTGCCCCCTGGCTGAGAGACACCCTCTCTGGAGGAAACCGCCAAGGACGTGCTATTGAGAGGGCCACTAGGTCCGAGAACCAAGGTCTCCTTGGCCAATGAGGGGCAACGAGAATGACTTCCGCTTCCTCCGTTATTATCTTGCATATCACTCGTGGGATTAATGCCAGGGGTGGAAACGCAAAAAGGAGCCCCGGTGGCCAGGGGCAACGGAGAGCATCCGTGTACTCCGCTCCCGGAGATGGGTAGTGAGTGATGAAGCATGGAAGATGAGCGTTCGCTGACAAGGTGAACAGATCCACTTGAGGCTGTCCGAATCGGAGACAAATGTCTTGGAAGAGATCGGGGTGGAGACGCCACTCTGACGGTTCTACCATGGTCCGACTGAGGAAGTCCGCCTGGAGTTTGTCTTTGCCGGCGATGTGGTCTGCCCGTAGAGAGATGAGGTGAGCCTCCGCCCATCTCCCGACCTGGAGAGCTTCCTGCATCAGTGTCCTGGACCTCGTCCCTCCTTGGCGATTTACATGGGCTTTCGCTGCAACGTTGTCGGTAAGTATTAAAATATGGTGTCCCTGTATTGTCTGTTGGAAGGTCAGAAGGGCCATGTGGATCGCTCGAAGCTCCAGCAGATTGATGCTGGACTGCGTTTCCTTGGAGGACCAACGACCCTGAGCTACTTGCCCACCCAAGTGTGCTCCCCATCCTAGTAGGCTGGCATCTGTCGTAATGACGATTGGTTGATTGTCTGTGAATACGCATCCCTTTTCCAGGGCTGGGGAGAGCCACCAGTGCAATGACCAGCAAACTGACAGAGGAACCCTGACCTTGGTTTGGGAAGCAGCAGTCTTGGCTCGTTGGTGCGGTAGCAGAAACCATTGGAGGCTGCGCGCATGGAGTCAGGCCCAAGGCACGATGTTTATGCATGATGCCAGTTTCCCTAATAGTTTCGAGAGGGTGAGTTTGGTCACCATCGGCTCCAGGAGGATTTGACGGATGAGTAGCCTGAGATTGTCTCTCCTCTCATGAGAGAGGAACACCTGTCCCGCCTGGGTGTCTATTATTGCCCCGAGGTGTGTTAAGCAGGTTCGGGGTTCTAATTGGCTCTTGGGTAAGTTGACTAAGAACCCGTGTTCTCGTAGGACCTGTAAGGTCAGTTGTAGGTCGGCCTGCGCCCTTGGGAGGGTGGGGGCCTGAACTATGATATCGTTCAGGTAGGCTTGGAGCCGTACCGGGACGGACCGTAGATGCACCACCAGAGCCGCTATGACGTTTGTGAAGATGCGCGGGGCCGATGCCAGGCCGAATGGTAGGGCATGATATTGAAAGAGTCGCCCCACGTAGCTGAACCTGAGATAACGCCGGTGGGCCGGCGAGATAGGGATGTGTAGGTAGGCATTGGAAAGGTCTATGGAGGCTAGGAAGTCTCCGGGCCTGATCCCCACTAGGATGGACTTCAGAGTGTTCATTTTGAACCTCCTGTAGACAAGGTGGGTATTCAATGATTTTAAGTTGAGTATTGCTCTCCAGCCCCCAGAGCGTTTCGGTACCACGAATAGGATTGAGTAAAATCCCTGTCTCCATTGGTCGGGAGGAACCTCCTCCACAGCCTTGATCTCTAGGAAATGTTGAATGGCAAGCTCCATGAGCCTGCACTTGCGATGGGAGTTGGAGACAGAGCATGGTACGAAGTGGTTTGGGGGGCTGGAAAGGAATTCCAACGGAAGTCCGAATTCGATGGTGTGGAGGACCCATTGGTCGGTGGTAATATGGGCCCACCTGTCTACAAAGAGGCTCAGCCTGCCTCCTATGGGGGCATTGAGGAGTAAGTCATTTCTGACGACGGAACTGGCAGTTGCCAGTTCCACGAAATGACCGTTTAATAGAGCCGTATGACTTTGGCTTGTCCCGAAAGGAACCCCTGTCCTGTTGGCGAAAGGAGCCCTGAGAGTAAGGGCGTTGGCTAGTGCTCTCCTGAGGGAAGAAGCGGGAAAGCTGCCTACGGTAGTAGGGGGTTGCCCGGTGACCCGCCCTTCTAGTGGCGGAAGGCAAAACTTTCTTCCTATCCTTGTCCTCAACCAATAAAGGCTCAAGAGAATCACCAAACAATTTAGACCCCGTGTACGGGGCTGAAGCGAGATGCCATTTGGCTTTTAGATCGGCTGGCCATTGGCGCAGCCATAATAGGCGTCGCGAGGTGACTGATGATGCCATCGCTCGAGAGGCGTACTTGGCTGCGTTGAGCGTGGCATCGGAGGCAAATTGGGTGGCTGCAATGATTTTGTTAAGGTCCTGATGGACCCGGACCTCCTGGGTGGGTAAATGTGATTGCAGCTGTTGGAGCCATAATAGGGAGGAACGGGTGAAGAGGCCGCAGTAGCGGCCTGTATTGCCCAGGCTGAGGCCTAGTGTGCTTTCTTGAAGGACAGGTCAAATTTCCTGTCCTCAGGCATAAGGCCCTCAGATGTGTCTCCTGAGAGATAGGGGGAAGGGGAAGAAAGGGCAGCCACAGGGCCATCCACTGAAGGTACCTGTAGAATGGTAGCTACCGTAGGTTCCATATTGTAATTGCGACGGTCAGTGCTGCTGGGCGTTGGAAGAGATGCCGGATTGGACCATTGTTTTCAGACCATGTCTGTGAATAATTTGGGTGCCGGGACGAAAAGTTGTTCGGCAACTGGTTCTGAGAAGATACCATGGCCGGTCGAGGTTGAGGCAGGATCAGCAGCAGGATCCATATTGTGTAATAGCGACTTGAAGAGCCCTTGAGGAAATAGGCCCGTGAAGGCCGGAACATCCGGAGGGGCACCTTCGTCATCTGAGAGGTCGGTGTCTCTCTGTGGCTCATCCTCCAGGCTGAGATCAGCGCTGCCCCTAGATCTCGTTGGGGACCTTTCAGGGGATCCAGTGAGGCTGGCAGAAGGTGAAACTCGGGTGCGCCGTGAATGAAGGCTTTCCGAGACCACAAATGCTGAGCGGTGTTCTCGTATGCCCGTTGCAATGCCATGCGAGATGCCCCTGGCAATTAAATGTTGAACCGCCTCAGGTAGATCCTGCAGGTCCAAGGGGTTAGAACTCTGTGCAGGTGATGGGTTCTGAGGGGTAATTGCACAAGCAAAGGGGTCCCCTTTTTGCTGGTCTTTGGAAGGTGGAGAATTAGTACATTGCTGATCAGTTCTCTCAGGGGACAAAGCCCTGAAGAGGTCAAGGTCATCATTGGTATCCTGGTCTTGGGAGCCAGATCGGGCCGTTGCGGTGTTGACCTCATGTTCAGCTCTCTCCTTCTCGGCTTGTAAAAATTGTTGTTCCAATGCCCTTTGGCGTCGTTGGAGGTCTTTGAGCTCATTCTGTGGTTGATTAGTCTTTCTGCCTGAAGCAGACTTAGAGGTGGCCTTGCAGCCAGTCTCGGCCTTGTTGTCAGATGACCGTTCCGCCATAGTGGAGCTGAGCATATGAAGGACATGGGCAATAGCCTGCACTCCTTGATGAGTAATGGGCGGCTTTCCCAGGAATCTGGGGTATGCCAGCACCAGAGGCGGCTAAAGAAAGGGGCGTGAAGATAACAGCGTTGAGGCTTGTATTGCAGAGCAGATATTTGGCCTTCGCTGAGCTCTGGAGCAACTTTTTTTTTGTCCCAGTTAAAATGGCCACTGGATGTGGAGAGGTGCAATCAAAATGGCCATCTCAAATGAATCAAAATGGCCACCCATGA